CTCTCTTGTGTTCTCTCTTAACTGCGTGTTCATGCTGCCTGTGTCCCTTTCGCGCAGCAGTTGGGTGTAAGCAAGGGTGACTGGCTCGCTGCGCTGACTTATTCCTTTAGGTAATATAAGAGGCGTGAAGAGAGAATGAAGTGATTGGCTAACCTTAACCTAGCTGTCTGGCCAGCGCCTGTGGAGTGAAGTGACGAGGGATTCAGGAACCATGCACTATTCCTGTTCAGATTTTGTAACCGTTTCAGCTTCTTATGTGTGGTTATTTTCTTTAGTCATCTTTTTTTTTTAAATGCTTCTGAAGCCCTATGAAGGTTTTAATGTGTGTGTATGTATATACCAGTTGTTTCGATTTGTCTAGTTGTCGGTGCACACGATTATGCCCGACTGGAAGAGTGAGATGAGTAGGGAAACAGTAAAGGCTAAAACCAGGAAACTGAGTGTTCCTAATTTTGATGTTTCTGGTCCAAGCTGTGCGATCATTCAGATTGGATGCTTTTCAGAACTGTATTCTGTTGCTCCGGCAGGGGCAGCCTGGAGACCAGTGAGATTTTTAGACCTGTGTGTGAGAGAGAGGTAGAATCCCATACTGGTGCCCTGCTGTGACAGTGGGATGATGGATTAGTGCCCTGGAGCAGTGTCTTGTATTGGTTGCAGTCTGTTCAGTCTGTCAGAAAGGCCAGGAAATTGCAGGGGTCAAGCCTTCTGATAAATGTTGGGTGGATTGATTTTACACATGGCCTCTTCAAAACTCTTTTTTAACATCTCACAGAAACTTCAATTGACAGCTCTTATTGCTCGATGTAAAAAAAATAGGTGCTTAGGTGAAGGAATTTACTTTGCTGATAACTGACTCATGTACCTTAACTTTCCTCTTCTGATTTTCATCTTGAATATCTTTGTCAGGTTTCTGCTTGGGGAGGCTATGTATTCATCATCAACCTGATACCTCTGCATGTCTTTGTCTTGCTGCTAATGCAGAGATATAGTCGAAGAGTATATATAGGTAAGTTAAAACTTTATTTTTTATCGTGTGAGGATCTTAGGAAGCATTATTGTGCAGAGCTGCCTTGTAAGTGAGCCGTTTTGTGCTGAAAGAGCGTTTTGGCATGTACTTAGGCAAATGTGCTTATACTGAAGATGAGGAATGAAATCAATGGAAAGAGTGCTGAGGGGCTTCTATTATTGACGCTGTGGTTGTGTATTTTACACAGTTCTCTAGCGTTATGATGGCCATCTTGTTTTACTCACTGTTCTGCAAGACGTATACACGTATGCATTTCCACTCTTCCTCAGTACGTTATTCAAACGTACCTTTTAAATGTTCTCTTTCATTCTCGCAAGTAAAAACACCAGTGGCTCGTTTCTGAAAGTCACATACCGTGTGATACTGGGGAAACGTGCAGTTTTGTTACAGTGACATAATTTTAAGGGTTTAGCATTGCATGAGTTCAGTTGAAAACATCCTTTCAATAAAGACTGCAAAGCTCTGAGTATACCTTACATTAGAAATCTTGTCCACTGTCTCATTTGTCCAATAGACAGTTTGTCTACAGCAGGAATGCAGTTTAGATGCCCCCTTCTGACAGCAGCTTTTAACACCCAATGAGTTGATAAATTGTGAACAAATCCACAATCAATTTAGAACAGTTGCACAGACAGGTGCTAATTGGAGCTTTCTTTCCAGTTTCTTCTAATAAAAATGTGGGGGGGTGTACATCAGTCCTTAGTTTTTAGCTTGTGATTTTGTAAATTTTACACTGTGAAAAAGAAATCTTTGAATTGACCGTTGTGCTTTTTTGCTCCTTTAAGACCTGACCTACAGTGATTTTGCTCTGTCGGTTCAGGGTATTGTATAAATGGGACTAAAATGTCAGTAATGGATTGAATGTCTGCATCTGTGATAGACACTTGAGCTATGGAGGTCAAGTAGATTCTTATTATTCAACTGTGAAACCAGAAAACTTGCACAGATCTCTGTTGTTAACAAAATGTGCAGCTTACCATACCCAGTATTTCACCCTAGTCATTGTGAAAAGCTCAGCTCTTTGAATGCACATTTTGATAAAGGGGAATGACTTTGTAACAAGAATATCCCGTTATGTAAGAATGTTTTGTAATAGATAAGTATTTTAAAACGGTAGCACAGTTCTGTGAATGCCAGTAGTTAAAAGTACAGAATGGTTAATGCAGTTCATAGTTAATACTGTCGGGCACAGCCAGCAGGTGGAGCTGGTAGCTGTAATTTCTTATACCACGCTGAAAAAAATGCCTGTTGTGCAGGGCATTTCTGTTCACCCAGATGTGCTGTAGTAGCTGCAGTGCACTTACCCTTAGTTGCATAGTATACTGTGCCGCTGTCAGGCAGATTACATGAACATCTCATTAAAATGCGCATGGTGAAGACTCGGCTCTTAAATTTCAAAGATTGTCATTTTACACTTACACCTTATTCTTATTCTCCTTTAAAGCATGCACCTTTTTTATTTTGAGTTCAATTTCTGAACTACGAGAGACACTTAGTTGCTCTTGAATGTAGATGAAGCCTGTAGATTGAGCCAAATACTCTCCACGGAATGAAGGCATGGTTTTTCTGTCATTTGTGCTGCCTGTTCTTCTTTTGTCTTGTGATCCGAGGAAGAACCTGTGTGTACCGTATGTCCAGATGGTATTTTTGTTCAGACTTGCCTATGGCTGCTTTATTTTTGCACTGTCTGTTTTTCTGAAGTATTTCCTTGAATTCCTTAAAACAAGCTTTTTATAATTGAGTGCCAAGCTATTAATGGTCCCCAAATGTTTTATGCCGATGTGGATGTGTACAGATAGTTTCATAAAGGCTGTTGGCATTGGTGGTCAGTCTGTGCCAGTAGCTGCAATTCCAAACGCACACACCCCAAATAAGTTGTTTTAACGGAGTGGTGGCTCTGTGGCTCAGGATCTGCGCCTGTGGCTGGAAGGTTGCCGGTTCAAATCCCGCGGCCAGCAGAGGAATCCTACTCCGTTGGGCCCCTGAGCAAGGCCCTGAACCCCAACTGCTCCAGGGGCGCCGTACAATGGCAGACCCTGCGCTCTGACCCCAGGCTTCTCCCTGTCTGTGCGTCTCATGGAGAGTAAGCTGGGGTATGCGAAAAGATAAATCCTAATGCAAGAGATTGTAAAGGGTTAATAAAGTGATGTTATATTATTATAAAGCTGTCAAACGAATTGGCAAAGCTGGCGTCTGGGGAGGGGTGACGGACCCACAGGTGTGACCTTGCCCGTTCCTGCTCATTTGTCATCAGCACTCTCCACGGCTGAATAGAAGATGGCACCCGTAGCAATGCAATTAGAGGCTCGAAGACATGGAAATCTGCCGGCTGCCCGCAGATATCCACCTGCGTCTGACACCCTGTAACCCCAATCTCGAGGTGTCATTGGGTTTGTCAGCCTGGGATAATGTTTCTGCCCGCCGAAATGAAATTACCTTTCTTCAGCAGGATGGCCGCTAGTTTCACGTTCCTATGACACGCTCACGCCTGACCCTGTTTTGAGACAGAGCTCCATGGAGTGTCGGGATGTGGAAGGATGATACTTGTCTCTTGCTGCTTTTTTTGTCCAGAATAAGTCTAGAATTACATTTTTAGGCAATACTATCTAATCTGTTTGTCACCACCCCGTTTGGTGGCATGGGGACTTTTTTTGAAAACAAGGGGTAAACCAACGTAACCAACCCGCCAAGGAAAACAAATGGTCCTCAATGGGGGGCAAGCAAAAAGGAAAAACAACCAAAACAACCCCGGAAAAAGGGGTTTGTGTGTCCAGTGTGCCAGTACAAAGCTCAAAATGTGCTCAGCACAAAGTGTAGCAAGAGCAACAGAGTCAGGGGTAGTTGTAGGACCTTGTGAACCTTTTCCTCTGAGAGAGTGGTGTTAATTGTCTGGCATAATTTGCTGTTTTATTAATGTGGGTCCTATGTGACCCAGTGATTATGGAAAGCTGTAGGGCTGGTGTGCATCAGAATAACCGTAAGCTCCGAATTCCTAACTTGCTGTTGGTTTAGGTTCGATCAGGCCTTCATGCCCCTGGACCACACCTACACCATCTACCTCATTGTCATTTTATTTATTGCAGTCACTGTTTACACGTCTGCCTTGTTTACATTCGCGCTGTTTACTTGTACATTGTCTGCTGCCTGTTTGTATATTGTCTGCACTTTGTGTTTTACACTTTTTTTTAACAATTGAGAGACTTTCTGTCAGTAAGGATGCCATTGTACCAGGACGTGTACCGGTTACATATGGCAATACAGCTCCCGTTCGATTGCTTCTTGTAAACGGTTGTTCTCCTTTGCCCAAACAGCGTACAGCACGTTCTACATCGTGGGGCTGGTGCTGTCCATGCAGATCCCCTTCGTGGGGTTCCAGCCTATACGGACGAGTGAGCACATGGCTGCAGCAGGTGTGTCTGATAAGACCGATCATTAATCCTCAGCCTTGCTTCATTCTGGAAGTACGCCTGCTTACCCAGTTAAATATTCACCTTACCTGTGATTGCAGTCTACAGCTGTGCTCCCTCTGCTTATCATTCATTTTTTCTTCCTGTTGTCGTTAAGCCCGTTAATTAACGTTTCCATTTTGACTTGAAATCGTACGGCGTGCTTGGGAAAATCTCTGCCAACTTGCGTTTTAAAATTTGTAGTGAAACAGCATCTGTCCTAATAAGCAGAAATGTTATTCTTGAGGCAGGCATCGCTTCAGGAATAACAATCCCTGCAGTCGGATCACAGCTGTATGAAAGTCTGCTTCGCTGTCAGCAAACTGCTCAGCCAGGCATGAAGGAAGAATAGAACGATCCTACCTGTAAGACACTCTGGTTCCAGCCATAATGAAATGTAACAGTTAGTGACAGGCATTCACAGCTAATGCTTTGTTTTCAACCGATTTATAAATCTAGACCAAGATCGTGGAAGGCTGAAGATGTCTTTAAGAGGACCTCAGTTAATGGGTTTTTCCACAGCTCTCTAATAATTATTGAGGCACAGAGCATATTCCTGTGTGTTTTAGGAAAACCTTTTTTTCCCTATATGGACTCGCCTGTTTTGATGTAATGTAGAGCTCATCTATGTGGGCTGTAACCACGTTAAACAGTCAGGCTTGAAGTAAGGAAGTGGTGGTCGACAGCTTTTGTTTTTACATGCAGGAAGCTCTTGTTGTTTTGGCACCTCAAAAACATTTTCCCCTTTGGCTTATATAATTAAGAGATTTCCAGTACATCAGCCTGAGCGTATATTCATTGGGGGGGGCCAAGATGTATGTTATGGTGGACGTCTGTCCCATAGAGGACAGCCATGTCCCACTCTTAAACTGCTACCTTTTGTTTCTTCATGCAGTGCTCCTCCTCTGTTTCCTCACACAGGTGTTTTTGCACTGCTGCAAGCCTATGCCTTCCTACAGTACCTGAAGGACCGGCTCACGAAGCAGGAGTTCCAGACCTTGTTTTTCCTGGGGGTTTCCCTGGCAGCTGGAGCGGTGTTCCTCACTGTCATTTATCTAACGTATACAGGCAGGTCTACATCTCTCGCGGTTCCCGGTGGGGGGGGAGAGAAGTGTCTGTTCACAAGGCCTTGCGAGCGGTCGTTGACATTAGTTGGGGAATGTCTCTGTTCGTGAAAGTGTGAGGGTGGCCTGGCAAAGCTTACAGTCAGAGGATTTTTACAGTGCGTAAATGGATGCCGTAATATGAGCTATTTAATCTTTTCAGTAATTACTTGCCGGGTTCTGCGTTTGTTATCCTGAATCTAAAAAGTATGAAAACCTAAACAATTGAGGGAAGAAATGAGCAGAACCTGATATTGCCGTGATGTGTCAGATTTACACTTGATAGCGTGCTCGCCTGAATTGAAAACCCCGTGTGTATATTCAGTAAACCAATTGTAAACTGCTGCA